AGGTGGAATGTTTATCTCAATACAGACGCGGGTTATAGCGCCAGTCTTTACATCTCTTTTCGTCCTTGTTTTCTCGGCGCCAACGATCTTTAGCTTTTATTTTTTTTACAAATCAGCTAATATTCGCGAACTTGACGTAAAGAGTGCAGGACTTTTGTATAGTTATATCGCCGAATATAGTCAAACGTTGCAGTGTACACAGTCGGTCTATCTTTTATTTAATCAGTGCTGAAGAGGCGGCGCGCGCGCTCTTGCACGCCGCAGCGTAAATGTGCGTTCTCGACTACAAAGTTTTTTTTTTTTTTTTTTATCGGCGTTTTTGTGTTTCAGTTGTGTGAGCTAAAAGCAGAAGCGACCTTATCTGTGTGGACAAAGCACCCCTTTCCTTGTGGACGGCGCGGCAGAAAGGTTTCTGTCAAGTACTGCTTGCGCGCGAAACACACACACACACACACACACACACACACACACACACACACACACACACACACACACACACACACACACACACACACACACACACACACACACACACACACACACACACACACACACACACACACACACACACACACACACACACACACACACACACACACACACACACACACACACACACACACACACACACACACACACACACACACACACACACACACACACACACACACACACACACACACACACACACACACACACACACACACACACACACACACACACACACACACACACACACACACACACACACACACACACACACACACACACACACACACACACACACACACACACACACACACACACACACACACACACACACACACACACACACACACACACACACACACACACACACACACACACACACACACACACACACACACACACACACACACACACACACACACACACACACACACACACACACACACACACACACACACACACACACACACACACACACACACACACACACACACACACACACACACACACACACACACACACACACACACACACACACACACACACACACACACACACACACACACACACACACACACACACACACACACACACACACACACACACACACACACACACACACACACACACACACACACACACACACACACACACACACACACACACACACACACACACACACACACACACACACACACACACACACACACACACACACACACACACACACACACACACACACACACACACACACACACACACACACACACACACACACACACACACACACACACACACACACACACACACACACACACACACACACACACACACACACACACACACACACACACACACACACACACACACACACACACACACACACACACACACACACATATATATATATATATATATATATATATATATATATATATTTAGAGGGTTGTAATGGACAGGATGCATTGGGGAGTTTTCGTAGCTCGTTTTCGCTTTCCCGCAACGCACTCCGCAAACCGCTGGGAAACGCGGTCCACGAAAACTCCCTAATGAGAACAGCATGTCTTACGAACGCCCCGGTCTCGCCTACACTCTAAAAAAGGTCTGTGCGTCTACTTTCACGCACAACACTCGGAGAGCCAATCACCGCAACCTACGGAGGCAGCTCAGCGAATGACGACGCCGAAACATATGTTTAGACCAAAAAACGCAGACTGAGTTGCGACATTAAAGGGGAACTCCGCCGACAATTTGAGCTACCTAATCCAAAGGCATAATCTGAATGCGAATGGCTTCCTGATTTCGAAATGTTATGTCGTTCTCCCAGATTCACTCTAGTCAATTAAAAAAGTGATATTTTGTTTGCTGCCGAAACCGAAACATCGTTCTCCCTAGTTTTTCCCCAGTTTTCCCCGCCGCCCAAGCGTGACGTCACTTGTGTGCAGCGAGGCACGCGGCCGGCAATCGGGTACGCTCGCGCCCGCCTTTCTCGCGTCTAACAGCAAAAGAACCGGACCGTTCGTGTTGTTCGAAGCTGACAATTATCTATAATTGCACAAAGTACGGCCTTGGCCTACGTGCCTAACTATAAGAAAGTAAAAGAAAAAAAGAAAGCAATTGGAATTTTCATAAAACCGTTTTTGCAACTCGCTACGCTCAAGCCGCGGCTCGCTAGTTTCGTAATATCGCCAGTAAACCCGTTCTCCTTTTACTCGAAAATGGCTGGCGAAAAAAGGTCGAAAATCACGCAATACATTTTTTGACGAATTGCCAAAGCACCGCGGAAAATGCTCGGAATGTGGGTACAGATGCCCAACACGCTCGTATGACCTGAAGGAACCTGCCATTTGTTTTAGATCTCCTTTTGAAAAGTTGCTGTTGCAGGCGTCAGCACGTGTAACTACTCATGTGGCATGAATATGCTCCTTGGTGCTTAAGTAATTTAGCAAAAGATCTAGACCATTTCTGAAAAGCGCTTCTGGCCGATGCCATTTTCAGCGTTCGTGCGTGTGGCGCGTACATTGCTCGCCTTCCAAAGCGACGAACATGTTCGTGCTGGGCTGGGACCTAAGATATGTAGACTGTGATTCTCGTAAACAATGATATGTATAGAATAGAATGATCTGCATTCGTGTAGATTAGATGGCAGGTTACTGGTCATGAAGATCGTGTTAAAATGACAATTAAAATAACTTCGCAACCACCAAGCAAAACAACAAGGTGCAACGGAATTCATTCATTCATTTATTTGTTTATTTTTTGTGCTCATGAACAGCTTGACGCCTTGGTAATGATGCACAACAAAATGTTCACAGGTTAGTTACAAAAGTATTGAAAGCTACGAAATTTGGGTTAAAAACATCAATATCTGCTCCCCTGAGGGTATTGTAGAAGTGTTGAATACGGGTCATGGGACTGGTTTGGAATGCGTATAAAAAACACAAATAAACTGTTCATCTCAAAATAAAGAATATTTTCTTGAAGATAAAATATTGCGTGAGGTACAGAAAGGCATCATAAATCTTTCAATTAAAAATAAGTTAACCAAAGTTGCTAAAAAATATGTACCCGTATTTTTTCTCTTTACTTTTTGAGTAGAATGCAACGCGTTCAAGCACCCATCCACGAGAGCACTTAGGAAAAGGGTAATTCTATATAAGATTTTTTTTTTAATTAAGTTGGTTTAGCTTAGTTCTCATCAGCTGTAAATCTGAATGCCTCCCTCAACAACATTAATATTTTCATGGTTAAAAAAAAAAACTTTTCAGCCCTATATAAAATTTCTCCGCAATAGAATAAATTAAAGACGTTTTCACCACTTTTTCTGCAAAGAATATTGCACGCCAACCATTTAACAAACCAGGCGAGGCTCTATCGTATTTTAATGGAGCTCAACACCTGCTCCATAAACCTCTGTAATAGCAGACAGGAATAGCAATATGTCGAAAGTCATGTCTAAATTCAGACTTGAACTATGTTTAGACGTTTCACTTCTCGTCTTCAACATATCGGCCGCGTGAGTGGAACTCCGAGAGTAGCCCGAGCTAGATTCGACGTCCGAAACAAATAGGGTTTATAAAAAAACAAATAAAAAAAGAAATCATTGAACCAATTGTGAATAACAAATGTGACTGTGCAAAATGTCGACTATATATGTGCTAGATCGTGTACTATATTTCTCGATATTATTAGCGCCCTTCTTTAGACGGGTGTCGTAATGGTGGTAGCCGGCTTGAGTTTGCGCTTGCCACTCTTGAAGCTGTTCCAGCTGCTGAAGGAAACAACTCGCAGCACGCGGCTATAAAGTATTCTGAGCAAAAGTGAAAATGTTTCACGTGACACTAGTCTTCTCGGCACACAGCTCGCGCAAAAGCACCTTGACGTGGCTGGCCTCCATTGCTGCCGGGGAACGCTTTTTTTTTTCTCCCACGAAAACGAGGGTAAAAAAAGAAGCTTTTTCCCGGCACTGTTTCTACAATCTATCGCGGAGCACATATTGCTACCCAATGCAAAGGAACTTTCAACCTTGAAGCTGCGAAAAAATTATCTCGATCGCTGGCGTCCGGAAAGCCACTTCGCGGGCCGCGGCTGCCCGAGTCGCTCGTCTGCCTGCACATTCGTGACGTACGCGGGTAGGGAAAAGTA